GGGTCGGAAGTGTTCGTTTGTACAGGTGATTGTCTTGGACATGTGGCAATGAGATCAGGTTCGACCTGTATGTTGAATGTCGGCGTATGCAATCGAAAGTGCGTTTTGCCCGTATTGACCCGACTGACATGAGCTGATGGCGGTTTTACGATACGGGACGACAGTGGCACTTGTCGTCATTCTCACTGATTTATGAGCTCTTTTTTCTGTCATTGTGGCTGGTCTATTGCGGAAAAAATAAGCCCCAGTTGTCCGCGTGTTGTTGGAGTTCGCCGCTGCTATATCATACCCCCCCCCCTTTCCCTTTCTTTTCCTATGTTGTTTATTTGCCTGTCTGGTCTTGCCCCATCCTGCACTATATGACCGTTATTCTGTTCTTCTCTTAACTCATAAAAAAAAAAACCGCCAGAGAGGTATATTATTATACAATGTAATCCTCATGGGTGGTTGGCGGGTGGGCTTGTGTGGTTCGTAGTTTCTTTACATCTATCGTCCTTAGCGCATCCCCCCCCCCCTCCATTTTTTGTACGTTACTCTCTGGTAACACATAGTCTTAGGAATTTATGACTTATTGTGTTGCAAGCTCCTTACAGACTCTTACTAAAACTAAACTAAACATATTTACCACCTATGAGAATGAAAGTGGTGATTATACTTTGTTGAGAAAATGTGTGTATAGTTCCCTTTTCTTTGTACACATTGAAGGGAAAAGAAATGTTTTCTGCGTGTTTGGAAATTAAACGTGGGCTATGTAATGTGAATGTTCAGGTATTTTGATGGATTGTTTGATATCAGAAAAACCATGGTTTATTTTTCCTTTTTTCTTTCTCCAGATCGTGAGGACCAGTCCATCTTGTGCACGTAAGTTAAACAGATCAAACTACTATTTGCATTGCTTTAGAATGTTAAGAAAGTTCTTTTTTCCCCTATATTTTACGTACGTTTTTATTTTTTGTCAAATTGAACGCGTGTGCGCGCCTACACACACACACACACACACACAC